TCATCTTTGACAGGGCAAGAAGGATATACTTGAAAGGTCCAATTCATTTTTAGATCAAAGTATTCAACGGGGATGTGGTTTAATGCTGGGCTGCTCATGCCTTGGGCTTACAGTAAAGACGATATTTGTCAGAATGGTGAAAACAGCTTGTAAGTTGCTCTTAGCGGTACACTTGGCAGATCTAGACATGGTACTTTAGCAGACAGGTCCTTCCTTTTTTATTGTGTTACGCCGCTTTGGAAACGCAGGAACCCGCTAAGAACAGTTTTCATCACCACTCATCGCCTTTCCAAGGGTTCAGAATGACGCATACGGCCTATTAAATTAATTAACATTTTTTCATACTATGTCAACTGATAGTGGTAAGTTAAGATTTTATGCAAAATGTAAAACTATGTACAACACAGAGCGATATCTTAATCTTGCAGACTTCGAACTGCGCTCAGCCATTAGCAAAATTAGAGTTAGCGCCCATCCTTTGGAGATAGAGAGAGGCCGGTATAGAAGGCTATCTGTATGTGAAAGAATTTGTAAATATTGTAATGCAAAGGCTGTGGAAGACGAAATACACTTTATCTCAAATTGTTCCTTTCATAGCAACGCTCGAAATGAGTTAACTATTCAAACTTCTACAATTTATCCCAATTTTACTAAACTTACAGACCAAGAAAAAACTATTCTTCTTTTAACTTCCCAAAACCCGCTAATTTTAGAAAAGGTGGGACATTACGTCTTCCATAGTCTAAAAAAGAGAAGTCAAACCCCTTAGACATAGTTTTAGACATAGCTATAGCTCTAGACAACTACCTTTCATCATGTAGATTTTAGTTATTTTATACTACGTTTCATTGTTCTTTTATGTTTGTAATCTGCAATTAGCCCCCCGGGCATGAATTTGCAATAAACTTCTTCTATTAAACCATCCACAGGGAAACCAGCCTTTAAAACGACTTGTCGTATAATACGTAGACTGTTACATGGGCGACTTAGATATTTTGAGGAATAGCGAGGAGTGCTTGTACAGCTTCTAAGACTCTGTAATTCGTCTAGCGCAGTTAGCGTATCCCTGGTAGACTCATCATCACTGTACTTTCCATTGGCGCGATTTTTTATGCAATACACTTTCCTCTGTTGGAACAAGACCGAAATCACAGTATTGTACATTGGTAAGGATATATTCCAGTTGAGATATGAGGAGAGTTGAGAAATGATATTAGGGTGTCCTTGCTACTGTGTCACATAGCTTAGAGTCATTACAACGAAAAAGGGTTGAATGATTGATGTCTATAATTTGCCGTTCGGCAGATATCTATATCACACATATACAGTACATAGCTCTTGGCTCTTCCTTAATCGTTATGGAGTGCCCATCGGCCATTCACGCGAAGTGACGCGCAAAATGATTGGTACTTAACAGAGACGGCGATAACGTATTGGACGATTCATTTTGTCACAGATGATTATATTTCAGCACCAACTGGATATAACAACCCAAGAGAAGAAGTATGCTTGAGCATAACAAAGTTTTGTGCCAAGAAAAATGTCTTGAGCGACGTATTCAACATAGGCAAAGGACGCTAAGCAATAGATGGTTGTAACATACTATGGGTTACTTGTATTCATTGGATACTTTTAAGCATACGTTCCTAGCTTGGCCGTGGTTTCAAAACAATCAACTTTAGTTAAAAAGGTATTCATATATTTTCCTCGTAGAAGTCCCACTCATTTGTACATTATTAGACTTTTCATAAAAGTACCATAACACACAATTGGCGAAGTCCAGGGTCTATGCTGATACTTGGGCTGCTCGTTTAATAAAAGTAGTTATTGCAACACTTAACAGATATAAGGCATTCATCATATAGACAACGCCTACAATGTATACAATAAAGACATCTTCTCTTCACCGGACATCTGCAATAACTTGTCTATAAACGGACTGTGGAAGATTTTTACGGTAGGAAGATTCCGGATCTCTTAATTGGGGAAGACTTTGCCATGATATATAGAGGCGGAAGCTTTCCTTTTACGGTCTATCCTTTCAAACGATAGTTTGACAAATGCTGGAAATCAACAACAAGAAGTACCCGTTTTATTTGCCCCATGACCTGAATGTGTCAGACGTCATTATTCATTCCTGTGCCTTAATGGTTAAAGATTGACATAAATGTCCCACTGTGTCATAATTATTCAATTTTATCTCAACAGTACAATACCAGGGCCAATTCAGCACAGTTAGGCCAAGTAGGGAAGGTTCATGTCTCATTTTTCATGCAATCTTCTTTTCATGCAATCTTCTTTTCTGTAGATAGACTGCCTCTATTTTTAATGGACCGGCTTATCAATACCTGAAACTTGTTTAATTTCAATCGTCAATGCCGTTATTTTTAATGCGTAGTTCTTTCGAGTTTTTCTTAATCTGTAACACTGTAATTCAGTCAACTTGGCTGCCAATGTGAATAAACAGTATTCTTTAAAAAATCCATTTTGTTTATTTGAATTCACCACAAGTGAGGAAGGGAGGACAAAACAGGTGCATTGACACCTTTAAAAGTTGTCCTTCCCAACACTACAATATAAATACAGATTGCAATATCAAATACAAAACAGATTACAATATTGAACATTAATGATATGAAATACTTCACTACATAAAATATCATACATTAAACATGAAATACTGTACAATGTCATAAAATGCCATACACTGTACACAAAAAAATGGCAAAGATTAAAAACTTTTGTTTTGCTTTCAGCTGACAAGGACGCGAGGGACTCGTCCAACATCGTGGTGATAGTGGGAACGGTGGCCGGGGCGCTGTGGTTCCTCATAGGCGTGGTCCTCATCCTGTTACTATGGAAACGGCGGCGGGACAGGAGAGACAAAGAGCGGTTCGCCTTCTACTACAACATGGGCCGGCGGGAACCCGGGGCGCCTGACGACAAGACCGACTTCCCGACCATACCAGGTATAACTTTCCGTAAATGGTTTCATCAGGTTAGTAATTTAGTATGAAAATTCATCTGAGTTGGTAAAATACATGAAGAAAATTAAACTGTTCTCCAACTCAAAAATGCACCAGAAATTTTCGACTGAATCGCTCAGTCTTCATCAGCTTTATGACCCAAGTGCTGTGGACAAGTGACTTTTAGCCACGTGTGACGTCTGCACTGGGTCAAAGTTCGTCGGAAGTCGGTACCGCCCCCTGTCACGGTTGAGCGAAGGAGGTATGGCCTGATGTAGATGGCTTCTTTCACCCCCCTCGCCAAGGAATCCCGTTCTGTGTCCAAGATCTTAACTCCTTCCAATGATACAGTATGGCCAGGTGACTCTAAATGGAGTCTCTATATGGAGTCTTTTGGAGTTGGAGAACAGTTCAATTTTCGTCAGGTTGGTAAGTTACTGAGTAAAGAGACTTTTTACAGAACCAAGCAAGTCTTTTATTCAGTCGACGTTTCGGTGACCGTCTGTCACCTTCCTCAGGGCAATTCTGACTGGTTCACATTGCACTGCAGCACAGGTGTCGCTGCTATAGATGCATTCCCAAACGTGGTTACAGGGAACTGCATCTACAATGCGGTCCCAAACGTACAGGTATAAATTAAATACCCTCAAACACAAATATTCCATTACGCCTTTCGTCATCTGAACTTCAAAAATGTAAATAACCATGAACTCTACATGACCCACCCCTGTTGAAAGGTGGCATTAGTATATTTATGTTATTGATGACATTTAATGTTCTTAGCGTGCAGCTATTTCTCATCTGCTCTATCTAATACAACGTTGCAAGTTGAAAGAGTAGTTTGATGATGGAGTAATTGCTTTTATGCTGACCCCTGCTGGTGAAATTATACCTCAGGTCCCAGCGTATAAAACACACATTTCCTGATGTTAACCTTGCTGGGAAGACTATTTCTCTGAACCCGCGGGTATCACGGAGCCAATTACATCTGATGAGTGAACATCAGACGCGTGTCTGGCTCGCAGTCCAAGGTCTGAATACTCGAAAAGGTCATTTCGCAGCATCGGATTCTCTTTGATATGTAGCCGCCATTTCCCTGTTTCCTAACAGACAGATTGGGAGGGAGAACTGACTATATAATGCCCTTGGAGAGAGAATAAATCCGAAGCTGGAAGTATTGATAGTCTTTTCCGTCAGCTCGTGCTTTACAGAGCTGGCAACGTACCAACTACTAAAGCTGCATTCTTCAAGTCTGGTAGAAAAACGTTAACAACATCACTTTTGTGACTACCAGCCAAGTATAAGTAGACAACGTAACGAATTTGGATAAAAACCTATTGGCAGAAAGAGTAATAGTACTCATGTGAAGACCATAGTCTTCATTTGTTTTAATGCATTGTACGTAGACGGTCAAATAAATCATGCCTTCCTCAGACAGCCATTAAAACTGTAAGAAACCGATACTTTAAGAAGATACGTGCCTGTTTATTACACAGAGGGCCTGATTACGTCTCAGGAAAACCAAGACGACATCCTTCATGCGTACTTTTTAATCAGAGAGCGAAGCTAGGACAGACTCAGGTTGCATGAGTGATGTCCTAATTTCCTAACGTTCATCTGACATAGATCTAATGACAATTAACTAGGCCTTATAGAAAATCCCAATGTCTTATCTTACATTCCTGTGATATCGTAATGAACGAGGCACGAAAAACAAATAGCTATTTTTCGTACACGTAGAGACAAGGAGCAACATCAACCAGTATTCTGAACTGATGCTTCTAGTTTGTGCCTGAGACAGTTAAAATGACATTGTCGGCCATTCCAATGTCAAACTGTGGCCATGAAAAACGTTCCTACACTTGGTATCGACTGAGTGCCCGATGGCGGTATAAATGGGTAAGTCTTATTACCCATAACATAAGCCTGTGTGTGCTTTAAACAGCGGGTCGATGATATTTGGAAACAACGACGTCAAACAAAATCCCAGCATAAGCGTCGTCTCATTTATATTGGCATTCGCCTCAGCCAGAAAGCTGGGTTAGACTAGCCTCCAGTTATACGTGGAAGTTTTTATTGTCTTTCCGATACAATCTTTACATCCGTACTTCGAATTCGGAAAATTCCGCGTTGACCAATTTTATGCAGCGTTGTTGAATAGCCGGTCAAGGTCTAAAGCTATGTTTAGAATCTTATGTATGAATGCAGGTAATCGTCAAATAACATATGACAATTTGAATCTAAATTTTACCCGCAAGGTGCCATCATGCACAATCATCTTGGTGATTTGAAGAAAAATATTTGTCTGCACGGAAGCTATCATTTGTTCCGTGACATCTACGAAGGGTTCACCAGCGAACGATATATCAGGAACGGTACTGAGTTATCTTCTAGCGAACGCTGTGAGCATATGCACTGATAAAGCCTACCAACACCCTTGGCGCCGTGCAACTAGTAACTTTACTAGTGAGTTCCTCCTTATTGGCTTCAGATATGTTTGATTTATACCCCAGCTTCTGTAGCCTACAGCCGAACAAGTCCTAACAAAGTCCCAGAAGAACCCACACAAGGAAAGGCTACAACATGAAACAATCCTCAGGATTACCCTAAACTACCTTGGAGAGTTGCCGGATCCGGCCAAATCTCCCAAAGCCAATAATAAGGCCGACCTCTCGTCTCCCTGGTCTTATTTTCCAGACGCTCAAGGATATCTCGAGACGTCTTCTGTTTTCCAAAGTGAGCTGTAGAATTCATGTGGAATCTCAGGAATATCTCACGTCCTCGATGATCTTCACTGACACGCCATTAGCTACTGTCTACCTCATCCTCTGAGATTTCCTGAATCTAAACGTTGTTGTCGTTTTTTTCCTGACACTTTGACGTTAGGTGGCGTCTGTTGGGTCCATGCTCTGCATGGCGTCGGTAAATAAAATAGAATAAAATAAAGTGTTTTATATGTACATATTCTGTTAACCACTTGAGGACGGCCAAGGACGGCCTCTTTGGAGCCATAACTATTTCTGTCGCAAGTTAAAAGGTGGTGTTTTTTTTTCAATAGACAGGCAATCAACGCACTGCATTTGTCTGATTTTCTTGATGAGGGTTTCCTTTAGATGGTAATTAGCCAATCAACAGGGTTCAAACTTCCGTTAAATTGGAGGGTATTAATCAAAAGAGGAACCGGCAGCGAAGCGTGGCATGTTACTCCTTTGTACCGACGGCGGGCCAATTAAGGTTTGGAGATCTTAAAGAAATTAATGGAATGGGTCTCGATAATTACCCGGACCATCAAATGAGAAAATAATGACATCTTTGCGTTTTTTTGATTACCGATGCTGATTTGAAAGAAACAAGATCTAGCTAAAGATGATAGAAGATTAACTAAATAGCCATGATGTTGGGAGGACGAATTTGGGTTATGTGCATGAATATGGGTTATAACATTATCACATAGTAATATATATAGTCTACGAGTCTTATACGAATTGTTTTGATCTGTTTTGTTTGTTGAAGCAGAAATCAGCTGAATATATATGAGTATATACACTTTATATGTGATAACACTAATGGTATTTTCTCTTGCAGTTTTGTATCATGCATGACGACATTTTCCTTCCGATAGAGCCCACCATGCCATGAAAGCTAGCGCCTTATCATATTGTGCTTTAGCGCGTGGTCTTTAAATGGCCTTTTCAAAAGGTCAAAAGATTTGAAACGAGAACTGTTGGCTTTCATCAAATGGTCATGGTCATGAGAAATGTCGGGGTCACTTTTGATGACACAAGCGAAAGGGTTTGGAGAGAATGGTCTCAGTGGCCCCATTGATTATCCAGACCTGATCATCTTCAGTTGTCACATTACGAATGGAGACATGATCAATGCCATGGGATTCAAGTGACGTAGATAACTGGCTATATTAACGTATTTATACACTTTGTATCCATTCAAAAAGTTTACAAAGCAAAAAGACTCTTCTTACCTCTCCAGATCTTTTATTCAGCCGACGTTTCGGTTACTCAGTGACTTACCAACCTGATGAAAATATTCACTGAGGGGACAGAAGTTTCCAAACATGCATGCAAACCATATAGGCACGATTACTAATAAGCAACTTGTGTATTTCTTAATTATATGCCCATATTATTATGAACAAAACACCAAAATGCTGCATGTATATGAGGAAACCTCATCTTTGTACATACTCCATATTGCGCTGATTCTATTTTGCCATACAAACTTTCAGGCAAATCTATGCCATTCTTCACCATGGGAGCCAATTTACCATAAAGCATCCGCGGCTTAAACAGGGGGAGAAAGTCGTCACGGGTTCATAAATCTTGCTTAGGTCTTCCCCAATTGCCTTCCTTATGGACGGGATGATTCTATAGCCGAGGCAATGAGCAATCGATCTAATCTGGAGACATCCCGTGTGAGGGGACAATCAAAATAAAGAAACAACTCTGGTACCCATCAACAATGTAGTGTTTGATCCAATCTCGCCTGATATCACTGGCAGTAAATGTATGACCCTCGTGTCAGGTATTCCTGCACATTTATTCCAGTGTACATATCTAGTCCTAAAGTTTGTGACTTTTTCATCGATCATCGTTGAACAAGTTTGAAGTACTCTTCATTCTCTCAGCAGACTCAGACCACCTAATCTAATAAAAAGAAGATTGCCCCTAGCTATTTAGCTGAACCCAGATTACATTCCAATCGAAATGGAACGTATCCAATCGTCTCCATGGACGACCATGTCATCGATTTCGGCCCTATCTTTTGTTCTTCATTTGTCTGTAAAGGATATTTCAAAAGAGATCACACATGATGTTAAAGGAGCTTCTAGGTCAACCCATTGTGTAGATGTGAAATACAATTCATTTTCTCATCTGGCCGGGAAGCAATGGCGCCATATTGACAAGAGTCGATATCCATTCGGACACCCGAGTAGAAAATGCCGTGATAGGCTCTGACCACAGACTAAAGGCAGTGGACTTGGGAGTTTTAATACAAGGACTACACAAAACAAGACGCAGTTCCAGGCTAATACATTCATACACTTCGTCTTCTTTTAAATAGAAACCTATCTCAGATTCAAAAGGCCACATCTTCTGTGACCGCACTGCCTACAGAACCCTACCTAGGACACAACGTCATTTATATGCTGGCCATGTAATGGGACCGCGTCTTCATACAAGTAAGATAAAGTGACACCAAGGCCAGAAACATTATCAATGGGTCTATTAAGTGCACTGGAGGATTTCCATTGGATACGTATATGCAATTTCACACACCGTAAGTGGTGCGCGAAACGGCTGCTGCCATCCAGGAAACAACGTGACTGTCACGTTCTCTTCCCCAGAGCAAATAAAATGGACAATTCTGCGGCTTCTTACTGTCATATAAAACACCGTTAGTCTTCGCAATTATTACAATCTACGGTGGCACAAAACCGCGATGTTTATTTGTGTTTTGCTTCATTAGTTGCACCTATAGATCTGCATCTCTCTACACGGTGCACCTGCAAAGAGGAAAATTGGACCTGCCGTCTGAATTAGTATGTCTCCATCTGTCTCTGTCAACAGGCAAAGAGTGGGCCTTTCTGCTTAAGCAACCTCACCTGTTAACAAGAGCCATGTTGTTACTGATAACTGGAGGAAATATGAGAAGGCGGTAAGATCTCGCCTCGGGGTATTCAGCAGGGGTTGTACCGTGACTAAGTTGGTAAAGCCATTCAGTTTGAATGGGCATGTATGCCTCTATGAGAAGTCTTGTTCAGCCTGAAATTAGAACTGACATGTTTTGACGCACGTGGGTATCACTCATGTTGAAGTCAAAACACTTGTGACTATTCTTTCTTTATTTCTTTATTTCAGGCATGAAACAATAGTTAAGGCGTTGTAACTTTCCGGTACACTAGCACAGATTTTCCAATAACTCAAGCAGAAAAATGCCTCTTTCCAAGAATAACAATGTCTTCTTCTTGTTGCGTATGCCCTAAGATAATTAACCTTAGTATCCAGCAACTTTCTAATTTTCTTTCCTATATTGGCACTACAGATAACGTCTTTATGAGTTGATTCGAAAGACCAACCCTGAAAGTAGATCAGGTACCGCCGGACTAAACTAATTATCTTCGATCTGGAACGTCATATTTGACGTCACAGACGTGGTGTATGACGGTTCTGGAAATAGATGATCTTGTTATTCGAATAAATAGATAATGTACAACGATACAATGTCAGCTCTCTTTAGTTATAGATCGTAGGTCAGAACTCCTGGATGTTCTAGCATAACTTATAACAAGGGACGCCAGACCATACGATGTCTAGCAATACAATACGTTCTTTGTTTTGAACGCAAGAGATTCTTCAAATCACTGAGATACTATGGGACGGCGGAATTGAAATTGATGACAGTGTTGACCTTTCCTCGTTGTAAATCAACCTGAACGTGCCACGCTGTGGACAAGATAGATAAGCCATTCCATCAGCACATACCGTAGACGGCAGGCTTACTCGTTTACGCTCTATCTGGTCCATTAGTCTTCATTACGTCCGTCCCTTGCCGTCTCAACTTTTCAACAACTCTTTAAAGCCCGTGTCACACATAGCCGAATGTGGCCTCCCGAACACTAGCCGAACTCCCTCCAGCCATGGTCGGGAGCAAGGCCGGCTACTCAATCTTCGGCTACTCGGTGTTTCAAAATGTTTCAAACATTCAGGTGTGGATGGCAGATTTGGACATGACTGGCTTCTGGTTTGCTGGTGCGTGGTCGGCAGTCACATTTGACTCAAATTTTACTTAAATTCGATTCGATTAGTATAGAAAGGTAGGCGTGGCCTAAATCTGATCAGACTGCTCCTGCACTTCAGCCAACCTTGGGGTGGGATGTTCTGAATGTGTGAGATGGACAACTGGCTAGGAGATACTATTGAAACTGCAACAATAGGGCTACTTCTTAGTGAGAATAGCACTATGTCAAACTAACTGACTAAGTCTTTTATTTCTAATACACTTATAAATACGAGCAGAGTCTTCTCTCAAACACCTTAAACTTTTTACTAGCTGTTGGCACATTGTAGATAATGCATGACACATGATGAATCATTAAACAGCCAATAGATCTCGCGATAAGACGGAAACTTTTTGCTCAGAGTTATAGCGTGTGGTTTACAAGGCTGACCTTCGAAGGAAATAAGGCATCTGAGGTGCGCAGCATCATCCACTCTTACATCTATCGCGCTCACAAATCATGTATTCAAGACATATCCATGATAAAAGCATTGTGACATTATAAGTTTTCTGTTTTGATTTTATGACGAGATTTAAAACAGTCGGATGATGGTGCAGCATCGAAATTTCATAATCCTTTTACAAATATACATACATAATGACGTTGGCTAAGGGTATAAACTGTAACCCACGTGTGTTAACATTAGAATCACACTGCAATTTATGTGTTACTAATTATCTGTACATGGCTAACGAATTGCTTAAATGCATCGTTAAAGTATCTTCCTTAACTGGTAATCTCTATTCCGTGCCATTTTATGATTAGCTATTCCCGCGTTCGTGCTTTATGGTCTTAAAGTCATACAAATTATACAGTCTACATGCTGTATAAATGATCATGAATTTGATTAGCTAAGGTAGGTTATCATTCAAAGTATTACAGCAACAGTGCTGTGTTTTTTAACATTGATTGTCTGTTAGATATCTGGGGCTGCAGGTGTTTCCTTCGACTCGGGGATGATAAGCACCTTCGTTGTTCAACATCTGGTCCGTCTGCTTTAACTATCTGATGGGTGTCTAGACTGCAGATGAATCGGAGAATTTGTATTTGAATAAAACCGGCATTCCCTGTGGAAATGTACACAATACCATCCATGCGTCTTCCACTTCCCTCAGTCTAGTATGGTCTTGAATTGTACAAATTATGTTTAGGTGAAATTACAGCGTGTGCCTCACAGCGAGCTGAGGGTGTTTGTCCAACCATGTACCAGTACATTTTGCATTCGACACTGATCTCCTTATGCAATGCGTGGCCTATCCGCATTTCATTAGTAATCATATAACTTGCTTCATAAACAGACTTATTTCGTCGTATATTTTGTTTTATCCCCCATGCATTCTCTTTTGCGGAACGGAGTTGTGCAGTTAACTGAATAGATGACAGATCTGTACACTTAGACAGATCTTAGAAGATCTATAGTCATGTTACAGTGTATTTACATGAACGAATAGGCATGCTACGACTTTGACAAATTATAATGAAACGTAATCCTTACAGCCTGGCATCGTATAAATCAAGCATGCACGCCGCAAAAATGCATAACACCATTTGTTGTATGAATAATTTCTCACCGTTCGAATCGGGTTATTTTACAAGCAGACACAATCAGGTGTGATTTATAATAGTCTCTCCTTGTTAGGCTTACTGTAATCTATGGTGACCTTGTATGGTTTGAGCGCTGAGAACGCCTCAATTGTACTAGTAGTGGTCATATATACCTGAATAGAGATGCAAGCGAAAAGAATATTACTTTTAAAAGTACATTATTTGCTTAGCCCTTACTCATCTTTAAGTTCCATGGGTTCTATCTGCATTGCAATAATTACTAGTACAGGAAATTCGGTACTGCAAACGTTTACTCAATTCATGCTTTTCTGAGATTTCGATATTTTCTAGCATAAGACAAGATAAGACAAACTTTCGGCTCCTCTGAACCACCTAAAGTGTTTTGGATGCGTCTGAGAGTTTGAAGAGTCGTTGATGTGTGCAAGAATTTGATAAGAGCCGCTGGATTGACATTGTGTTGCACGCCTTTATTGATTTGCTGATGAGACGCTGAAGGAGTGACATAAAACTAAGATCATCCCTCATGTGGGACTTAAGTCTGCTTGTCCATAGAGATAAGGAGTAAGACAGTTCCTTGGGGGACCTTGACGAATACCCGAGCGAGACAGACTCCATCAAGCGCATGATTATGATAACGGCAACCATTTGCAAACTTTTGGGTCAGGACTACAGGCAGATACAGTGAAAATGTCCAATTCCCGCTGGAATATGTTGACGTTTTGTGAGGGTTAAGAAGGCTTAAGCTGAACAAGGAACCCGCCCACGTTACTCTGGGTAATAGGTTCTACCAGGCTAGGACAGGAACCCATAAATTCTGGGCTTAAAGGATCTGCGCACTCCCAAAGTAGCATTCAACTTCGTTTATACGACAGCTTCATCTATGTTTGCAAAAGCGCCAAACTTAGTTTCCGTACCTATCAGAGGTCTGGATCTCTCAGGGTAGTCAAATCTTTATGTGGAAACACCATGCTACCAGTTAATACTTTGTTGTGCTGGTAATAACGTTCCCCTCTGGTAAAAGTTAAAGTTCAACAAGACATGAGTTAACACTGATAGTGATGTTGACTTTCTCCATCATTGATATGACGAAAATCATGACAAAATATTATCATTAGTGTGAACAAATGTGCCATTGTACCATATCCTGTATGGTACTGTTTGGTGTATCCTGATGTCCATTTATGAGTCAAGGTACTTTTTTAAAAAAATCAGGGTTTAGTCGACTAGCCGAGCCTATCTTTCACCCTCTCACCCGCTGTTGTTTTGACGCATACTCCAGAAATGAATCCACTCTGGTCCATGCTACAGTTGCAAGAAAAATTGAGATACATGAAGGGATTTACGTTCACGTAAAACATAGATGAAATTCCGGGTCCATAAGCCCCCATGTCAGTCATCCCGCCGTTTGGACATCCAGATAAGTAGATTGCGACGAGCCATCCTCCACCGGACGGCGTTAGATGATGGTCGTCTTGGCTTTTATCTAGAGCCTCCAGTGGTATTTCATCTGTATTCAATTAACGTAACTGCCGCACAATCTCCCCTTTTTCTTCGCAGTCAAACCACGTGAGGGAACGCTGACAGGAAACGCGGGGATCCCGACGATGAGAAGAGCGGCCGATAAAAGAGGTAATATCCGCGGTTCTCGGAAGTTTGTACATCCCATCCTCGATAACGGAAACTTTACGGCGTTGTCGTTACCTTTTTTTCAATTTACTGGTTGAGCATACTACATACTCATCACCTACAACTTGAAATGCATCTTTTCTCTGTATGTTTCGTACAAAACATTGGATATAGACACTACGTTGATTTTTTTTCTCTTAAATTCTGAACTATTGATACCTACTAAACATGTGAAGCGTGCGTTGCATTTTCTCCAGCCTACATTAAACAGCAGGAAGCGATAGAAACGTATCCGAAACAGCAAACGTTATCCCCATCAGACACTGCCATCAGGCAAATCCGAGCATCAACCATGACCGCGTCATAAGCTCAGATCTAGCACAGAACCAATAAAGTTTCGGTGTTCTTCAGTCCTAATCATTGCACCGTGTGCCCAGATAAGGAAGTAGCGCCAACGTAACCTGTCGCAACTGTGAGACAGTTCCATTACACTCCAGACCCTTATTTAAAGCCTGTGGGGCTTCATCAGGACGGGTCAGACCAAGATGGATCTTTCTGACTTTATCTCGGCTTGACCAGCATGCCAAAGGTCGCCTGCAGGTAGAATTGTTATGGCGAAGAAAAGACAGAAATATTGATTTTGGTGGGGTTAAAGATGCCGTTCGGGATATGTCCGTTTTTATTATAACGCCAAATCCTTGGGGGTGTTTCTTTCCAAGGCAATGATCCTTAAAAGCTCTTTTACAATATGTCGTGATAAGCGTTATACACACAATTTTCAAATTCAATTGTCTTCTACATATATGATAACATGATATGATTATAAGAGTCAATATAAAGTGAACAGAACGTTAAGTTGGAAAATCTGCTATCTATTGTTTGGAAGTTTGGTACTTTTTTTTAACATAATCATTCTAGCATGACTGTGGCAGATGTTGTTTTATTTATCAACAGCTTGTGGCACGTTGATCCCAAACACACACGTTTCCGCCAGTAATGATCTACAGACACCTCCTGATGGGATTTACGTTGTTGTCTCTCCTTAGGCAGGCGCTACGCCAGGGTCATGTACCCGTACCTCGCACAGGAAGGCAACGAGCTCTGCCTTGAGGTGGACGATGTCATAGAGGTTCTGGAAGGGGACAGCGGAGGGTGGTGCCTTGGCTATCTGGGTGGCGACGTGGGACTCTTCCCCTCCAATTATGTCAAGTTCCTCTCGTCAAATGAGGGTAGGCCACATGTCTGCACGTGTAGTAGACATAGAGAAAAACTCACCGTTGAAGATGTAAGAGGACCACAGTGTAGTGTATGCTCGGAAGCTCATATTTGCCTTGAAACCGAATACTTATAGGTGTACTTTTCTTAGATATCATTTCAAAAGCTTGAATGGATGTGCAGCAAGTTATATACGTGAGTTATGAGATTACTAAACATGTTATTCTCGTCATGATATGACCGATTCCCCAGTATTTATGCCCGCACCTGTTCTTCCATGATTATTTTGTGGCTTTGTTACGATAATTTGATAGCGGAAACGTGCAGTTATTCATGTTAATGTCCATTAAATTTGTTTCCAACATTTTCACTGTGTTTTTGTTTCTTTCTTTAGTTCGTAACGCCAAGTAAGTGTCATAAATCCCTTTACATCGATTCTTATTTGTCTACCTCTTATAAATAAGAGGCGCGACCGCAGCACTCAACGTAAATTGACTCATTTTATCAACCATTAACATGACGAAATCGCTCCGTTTTCCTTGTGTGTTTGATCCCAACAACCGCACCTCAGGGATAACAGCATCTTTTATGGTTATTATCACCACTTCGATTATCCAATTTGGTTTCATAAGCATCCATCAGAAATGACTTTTCCCAATCAATTCTCTGTGCAGGTGGGACGACACTCTTCCCTTTCGCACACATTTTCTACCTCTTTACTTTGATCAATGGGATGTACCCTTTGATGTGTCAAGCATTAGCCATTACCAGAACACGTAGATCTACATTTTCCTCTGACAAGGGCCTGTATGCCACTTGTGTGCCAAAGAAATGACCTCCTTTTTATACAGGCTCTCTGTACTTCTGATAAAAGGTAGCGTTTCATAAGAATGGAATCAATTTTTGCCGTGGATGATATATTGCCTGTCAGCTGAGTGCATACACCGTTACTTTGCGTCTTGTTCACATTTATTTGCTCGACAGACGGGATACTAGAGGATCAACTGCTAATGGTATAAACAGCTTACATGTACAGCAGGAAGTGTATATGCAGAACAACAAACTGACAACAACTACATCAAGAAACTCCTGAAGAAATTCATACATGTAATCTGTACAGTAACATTTCCATTAATCGTACACCAGTACTACAGCTCCCAAAATGAAAATATTGTATTTTTGGATGGATGTGGATAAATTATTTTACATGGAAAAGCGTCAGTATTGCCGAAAGCTTTACATAAGCGTGGTCTTGACAGATACTGGCATTGGGCGTGGCCACTTGCCAAACGGACATGCATGCAGAAGGAAATCATCGCTAAGAAAGTGTAAAGCAAATTTCTTCCTCATTCAAGCATGACCTCTGTTGCAGATAACAAACTAAATAATACGTCCCTATGTAGGAAAAAAGCCTTTGATGGCATCTTGCCATCACTGATTGCAAATGATGATTTCCCGATACTGACTAGCAAGTCAAAACTTTCAGTCTTGAAATTGACCACTTTTGTGTGTGCGTTCCACCTTTCTTACAAATGCGAGCTTCCCTTTGAAGGAGCTGTTATCTGTTGGCATGTCTCCCAGCCTACTCTCCTTGGACGAATGGTGCCGAAGTACTTAAAGGTGTAAGGCGGTGATTAGCACCTTGCGGGTATGTAATCTAGATTATTACATCCGTCCCTACGGATGAACGAGTATCACCAAATGGTTTATCTCCGCAAGAAACTTCTTTCAGCTCATTCCCTTGACGGGTTTATAAGGATCTACTTTACTAGACACAGCATTATAATGGATTTATAGTAACTGATGCAGCGGCCTTCAGATGTAACATCCGTAGTTACTTCAGAGATTATTTTGGAAGGTTTACATTGGGAATACTGCATTATTGATGCGCCTAAAAGCGAGGATAATGTCAGGTAGCAATTACAACGTGGGGAGCGAAGGTTACGTCTCCCGTGACCATCTCGGCACGTCAGCTTCATCTAATGGCTCGCACGGACTTTTTGGCAAGCGGTTGTCTTGTGTGCCTTGGGAGAGAGTGCAGAAAAGAACAACAATCCATCACCTGTCAAACCTTGACTACCTGGCTGTGACTCCAGGACTCGTCCCCCGCTCTCATGTTGTGTGGAAGTGTAGATGAAAGCTTTGGGTGGCACAAGCAACAGAGGAGAAAAGGAAACTGTGCGGATATCAAAAGAAAACTAGAGAGAAAAAGTAGAAAGACGCTAACATCAAGTGAACGATGTCAGACAGGAATGACTGTTATAAGGCTCTGCGTGCCATCCTTTGATCATACAGGATAAAGTAGAGTCTAAAAGCGTTGTACACAAAGGCGCGCGATATATAGCTTAGCGGCACTTTCTAACAGAAGTTTTCACTGACAGAAGCTCATAGTCTTAAATCAATAAGTCATTTCACGGTGTGAATAAATTGTCCAACTAGCACTACGTCTACTCGTTCACATTGGTTGCTGAACTTGGTGATAAAATCACAGTCTCTTGTCGCCTGTAGCTGCGGTGTAAGCACTTTCATGATTTACACAGACGAGAGGTTTGGCCACTCATCCGAGATATGTTTGTATGATAAGACTAAAATGAACCTTTCCTTTTTATCGTTCCGTAAGGTAGCCACTTATTTTCAAATAGGGTTCTCGCTCAATGTTATCTCGCACGGTGCACTGTGTCTATTCCTTGGCGTGACTCAAGTTGTAGGTGAAGATAACTTTATCATCGTCAGTACACTGACAGCGCTTCCGGCCGTGCAACAACGACCGTGCTTCCCGCACCTCAAAAAGCCGCTGTGATCAGCATTTTCATAAGCCTGGTAATTCCTTTCACGCCAAAAGTTTCGTACACTTCGCACGGCAAGTACCGTACGTTGTCGGAATATCTTGCGGTCAGATTCCAGACCTCCTATTTATGAGTTATCATATCATAGTCAGCATGATTTTATCTTTGGCTTCATAGCACAATCATGGCCTAACCACCAATTCGTTATCAGCTATGTAATCTAGACAATATTTCTGTCAAGTGAGGAGCCTGTGTTGCGATGTGCACGATAGGGCGGTAGGCCTTGAAGTCGAGCTTGCGTGCGTGTAAACATGACTCCGGGCAGGTAACAGCAGGAGGCCATGTCGTCCCTAACTTTACCTTTCCGATATGTAGGGAGGATGGAAGGGGTACAAACGAGCGGTAAATAGCTGTTCAATGGAGTGGAAGAAAATACAGGTTCTAGCTCAACACGTGTAATTGATAACGATTTTATGACATGGTGGGGGTAATACTAGTATGCTAGACAGTCTCATGCAGCGCCGCCAACGGCAGCAATTGTAGGTGCAGCTTGACAAGTAAAGCCCGCTACCTTTAAACCTGACAATGTATTCCTTTTGAAAATCTGCATACTAGTATGAATGAAGGGTAGAACTATCTAGTGTGACCATGAATTACGCATTAAAACTATAATTACCAAAGTTCAGTCATTCTAGTTGTGTGCTAGTTGGCACCTTTGGAACACGCTGTATGTGGTCTAAATCTTAAAGGCGTACCGCCGCGAAGATTTGAAAGACTTCTTGAGGATCAAGGAAAGATCTGAACGTCAGGCGCGTGATCTCATTAAGGGACTGCCGACCTATTCTCTGTAACTAATCAGTTACGTTGTAGGTAAGGTGCGTCGGTGGCTATGACGTCATGGAATACATGCGAGGTGATTTCAATTTAATGGTTACGCTATTTGATGGTTTAGCTTTGACCTTGGGCGCATATAGTTTTAGATGGGAAGGTCAATCCCTTTGAAGTCTTCAGACAAAAAACATGCCTTTTGCACGGGTCAGCTAAAATTGGAGTCAGAACGATATGATAGCCAAATGTTTAGCGTTTTTCATTTTAGAGACACCCTTCGCAGACTCGAAAACACTAAAAAGCATAACAGACTAATAAGCAAGCATAAACACCCTCATGGGAAGATCAATCGTACAATGCATCGGCAAATTAGGAGAGGCAACTCAAGTTTTCATAGAAACACATCACATTTGTCAATACTAAACTATGCTGCATTTCAAATAGAAGTTTAATTCTCAAACCATCAGTATGGCATCGGAACGGTCTGTATTCTCTTCAGAAGAATACTCAGCTTTACTGATGAATTTTATTGCCTTATGCATGAAATCTTTGGAAATCTTTCGACGTTTTCACATATTCACGCATCCTTTACCGTATTTTCCTCAAGGCCCCATTCTATTGACATACATCCAATAACCTACTTCTGTCTAGACTGAACGCCCACGGTCTTCAGGATCGACTGCTAGTTCAATTCCAATTACCTAAAAATTGATTCTCTCCAACGTTAAAAGACGAAAAACGTAACAGTTTTGGTGATATATATGTAGGAACTCTTGTCGATAACATTACATCAGAAGAAGGGCAGCTGTGTCGAAATATATCGGATTTTGGTTGCTATGAGAAGGGTTTGTATTAATACTTTGACCACCATTAAAGTCGATCTATTGTCAGAGAAATGCTGTAGCGGATACAAACCAACAAAGAGAGGAATTTGTGGTGTGTACAGTAAGGACATATGGATAACATCATGTACTGAAATATTAAAACGACTTTGACTGATCACAGAACTTTCTCTGACAATGGAATTAAAACAATTGTCTACTAGTTCGTAAAATCGTTTTGGACAAGATAATTGTACGCATTATCAATGAAAAATGAGAAGTCTAAAAGTCTTCTGTTATTTTGTCGTATTTCAGGCCAACCGCAGCAGTTTTCTAGGTCGAAATATTTTATAAGACCCCATTACAGTAGAAAGGAAATTCTATAATTTAATACACAATTTAAGACAAAACATAAATGTTGAGCAAATTCAGATTCCCGAAGAGACACCGGGCCTTTCTGACGAAAGATAAAAAATATGTAAAAAAAAGAATGAAAGAAAAATGACACAGATACTGCAACTCCTTTATAAGATTGTATCTTTTTATATCAATTTTTCGCTGGTAAGTAACCACTGGCCTTGTTGTTAAATACCACGATATCTTACAACATTCATCCTGGTTACATATGCTGCTGCACGAACTTCCAGCTTACAGTTAAGTTACACTGCAAGAACACAGATTCTTCCAGCTTACACCGTGCAAACTTGATAGACCGATTTGCCATAATACACAGACTTAGGGGATTAAGGAAAGTGCCTTTTATCAGCGTTTACCCAACAAATCGACGTCTGTCTTTCTTCACGTTTCGATCCACGACAACTCTTTTGTAAGTTCATTGGCTTTTGTCAGGGCCATACAACATCGGATATATGAGAGGAGACATTTTGAACTTTTGCCAGTACAATTATTGTGTGCAGTAAGGCTTTACAGTGGAATTGGGAACAATGAGTGAGCACCAATCATAGACATGTACAATGCCAAGATCAAGTTCAAAAGGGTCCCATCTTCGTGTGAACGTCCAGAATCGTCTGGGCTTTTACCACGCTTGTGATTTAAGCCAGACGTCCCAACAGTGACTTAATTATTAATGACCGTTCAAAAACCTCTTATACTAGAAAATAGGCAATTTACAACAAATCATAAAAGGTGGCTGTCAAACTGCTCGTAATTGTCTTGGAGCAGGAGCCACCCACAACGTTCACCTGGCTAAAGCCTAATGTCCTTTTATGTGGGGTGTGAGACTTGTCCCTAACAGCTATGTGAGCGCTTTGATGCTTCAGATCATATTCGGATTACATTCTTGTACCTGGTCATTTCGCTGTCAATTTGCATCAACGTCACGTTTGGCTTTCTTTCATTGTCACGTTTTAGTTCGTTCAGTGAGATTCTCGTTTTATGACGTGACTCGTAGTTAGTGCCATTGGCACTATCCTCAGCACCCTCTAGAGTGTAAAACATAAATGTGAATTATGTTCACGAGGTACGCTGATGAGCAAAAGTGGCATTGTAAGGCTGAGCGTTAGACTAAAACGAATGGCCCTTCCTCCATTATCTCCGACGGTTGAGTCTGAGACCACATAATATGACAGGTCTCACCGGAGGTCCATGACGGCCGTCCCTTTGTTTGCAGGATTAAGGCTGGCGCCACTAGGCGCTCCAGTCAAGAATGAACGACTCTTATCAATAATTAAGGCCATTTTCCCTTTCTCTTTCAGCCGTCAAAATGGAGGAGTGTGACGGAAAACCACCAACCAAGAGGACTAAATAGGGCGGGACAGGAGATGGTTTGATTCATGAGGTCAGCGGGGGACACCTTCTGATTCAGTGCTTCCGACGAAATCTCGCGAGAGTTGATAACTCTCTG